TCTGAAGCTTACCCATCTCCAGCATCCCTGCTCCCCTCCCCCCCACCTCCAGCCCCCTTCCCTTGAGTAATGGTTTATCCGTCCACAGGGTTATGAACTACACAATTAACACTAAAATTAACACCTTTTTGCCATTTGGTTTATTTAGCAACGTCTCTCAGGACCTTGCCTTGTATCCAGGGGTTCACGCCTTGACAGATTTGGCCTACATAATGCATTGCCATGCAGGGAAGTCGCCTGGCAAAGTGTGGGGGCAAAGGAGGAAGGAAGGGAATGCGGTCTCTATCAGATGCAATTTGATGCCAGTATGAAGATTTCATCTTGGAGGCAAGGAGCAACCTCCCCAGGAGGGACCATGTGTGTATGTGTTTTTGTTTGTTTGTTTGTTTGTTGTGGTGCTTGTGCTATGGGGCAAAGGGCATAAGGGAGGACTGCCAAACCCCAGAAAGTGCACAGGGACCCCCCTGCTTGGGTCCAGTAGTACAGTCTGGAGAAAAGCACCCATACCTTTCAAGAAAGGGCCGTTCTCTTCAAGGACTAGGCCATTTCCTAGAACTAGCCAGCCAAGGAAGAATTTTGTTCACTGCCTCTTGTAATTGCTCTGGGGATGTCAATTTTCTGGGTCCTATCAAGACAGAAGAGGAATCAGATCAGGAAGGATGGAAGGGATCTGGGCCTGACTGATGAGCCACCTGCAGGTGAGTTTTCTCAGGGCCACCCACACCCTGCATGGTAAGGGAGGTTACATTCCCACTCAAGCAGATGTCCTTCACAAAATGGGTCTGGAATCCCATAGAACCTGTTTAGGGAAGCTCTGGAGGAGACCCTAGGCCTTGCCATGTGGAGGTGGAGCGATCAGAGACAGGGAGCACTGGGGGAGGACTATGCAGCAGCTGCATTTGGTCCCAGATTGCATTTCCATCTGTTTATTCAAGTTGAGAGGATAGAGGTCCACAAGCTGGTTCAGCCAAAAAGTTGTAGGCCCCAAGTCTAGCAAAATGTTTGAAATGCTCAGCCAAATCCCTGAAGTTGGAAATCACTATGGCCCCTTTTTTAAAAAGACTGTAAAGATGAGGGGTGCCTGGGTGGCTCAGTCGGTTAAGCGCCCAACTCCAGCTCAGGTTACGATCTCACAGTTCATGAGTTCGAGCCCCACGTCAGGCTCTGTGCTGACAAGCTCAGAGCCTGGAGCCTGCTTCAGATTCTGTGTCTCCCTCTCTCTCTGCCCTTCCCCCATTCACTCTCTGTCTCTCAAAAATGAATAAACTTAAAAAAAAATGTGCTTAAAAAAGACTGTAAAGATTAAAACTCTAGGTGAAAGCTTTCCCCGACGTTAATAGCCCCTTTTCAAATGGCATGTCCTGGAAATCAGAGAGCAGAGTCTCTGATTGGATTTGGCAGAATCTAAAACACAAGTGATTCGTTCATTTATTCAGCATTATTCGCCAGGCAACTTTTAAGTGCCAGGTACCACGTTGGGATACAAAGCAGCGTCCTGCCCGGTAGAGAGATTTATCTCAGAGGAAATCACGAGAACACAGGATAGGAATTGAAGAGTGCACTAAAGGCACTCAGGTCAGGGGGGCACAGGGCCTGGATGTGGGGAGAGGAGGTTGAGTCCAAAGGGATATGAGGGAATATTCTAGGGTGATGGAAAAAGTACACATCTCCAGTGTGGTGGTGGTTTTATGACTGTAAACTTTCACCAAAATTCACAGAATTGGAAACCTTTCAAGGGTGAATTTGACCGAATATAAATTATACCTCAACAAACCTGACTTGTGGAAAAGAAATCTAAGAAATGTATGGACAAATTATATAAGTAAACATGTCTTATGTGATTTTGTAGAAATGACAAGACACCCCTGGTACACATATTTCAGAAACCAATGGGTGGATGTTATTTGCACTTCTAGTAGAAAAAGAAATCTCAGTTAGAGATAGATTAATTTTACCACCAAGAATTGTTCTGGAGGAGCACCTGGCTGGCCCAGTCAGAAGAGGGTACAACTCTTGATCTCAGGGTTCATGAGTTCAAGCCCCACATGGGGTGCAGAGATTACCTAAATAAATAAAACGAAAAAAAAAAGAGGTATTCTGGCAAAAAGGAATCGGAGATAACACTGTCTCTCAGTTGCCACGCAGCTGTGAAAACAAACTGCTGGTGACAAAGCACTTGAGGAACAAAGAAGTAGCAAACAACAACTCACTAATTTTATATTATTTAGAGAAATTTTATCTTGAAAGTAAAGTATTCATCCCCCTTGCATTTTCTTGTTTTTATTTTATTTTTTTTTAATGTTTTTATTTATTTTTGAGACTGAGAGAGACAGAGCATGAGCAGGGGAGGGGCAGAGAGAGGGGGAGACACAGAATCTGAAGCAGTCTCCAGGCTCTGAGCTGTCAACACAGAGCCTGATGTGGGGCTCGAACTCACGAGCTGTGAGATCAGGACTGGAGCTGAAATCGGATGCTCAACCGAGTGAGCCACTCAAGTGCCTCCCCATTATTTAATTTTAGGGTATTTCATCACTCCAAAAGGAAACCCCATGCCCTTCGTTGGGTCATATGGTAATGTTGTGTTTAATTTTTTGAGGGACTTCTGAACTCTCTTCCAAAGTGGCTACCCCGCTGTTCAATCCCACCATCATGAGCACCCTGTGCACCCCCTTGTTCGACGTCTTCACCTTGCCTCAATTTCCCATATGCCAATAGGCAATTACCAAAAGAAACAAACTGATGCTGTTGATGCTGATATGAAACATTAAAGGGAAGTCTGAGGACAGTCCCAGATGAGTGAGTGAGGTGACTCACTCAGAACATTCATTTTTCTATGCTGTTAAAGTTTTGTATTGTCTTTGCCTACATCAGGTCTAATTTAAAGCCTGATTTATTACAGTTACAAGAGTGGATGGTTACTCTTGGTTTGAACTCCAGAGTGTTCCTCTGAGCTTCCTTTTAGTGGAAGGGGTGATTTCTTTGAGAAGAGAGAGTGATGGGAGAGTTGAACCTGGGAGCGAAGTGCTCAAGTGCCTTCTATCTTCCCAAGAACCACGCACGGTCCAGGACATGGCCCAAGGGCTCCCTTGTCGCTCCGTTGGCAAGAGTTGGGACTCTGCCTTTTCCCTGTACCTATGGAAGCACTGGGCCCAGATGAAGGCCCAGCAGTTAAAACTCCTCGTCCCTCTCTGGATGCTCTCCTTCAAATGCCCCCGGCCATTCCTTAAAGGTGACTTGGTCTGCAGGCTTCCTTCCTAGCCCTGCTTCTCTTCGCAGGTTATACCAGTGTTTTCAGTTAGGGGCGCCTGGGTGGCCCAGTCGGTTAAGCATCTGACTTCGGCTCAGGTCATGATCTCAAAATTCATGGGTTCGAGCCCCAAGTTGGGGTCAGTGCTGACAGCTCAGAGCCTGGGGCCTGCTTCGGATTCTGTGTCTCCCTCTCTCTCTGCCCCTCCCCACCTCCCAAAAGTAAATAAACACGAAAACACACACACACACACACACACACACACACACACACACACTCTGTTATTTGGGAAGCTTTGGGCTGAACACAAAGTATGTTCCTTTGGCCAGGACCTCATGTCTCAAAATCCTTACCTGGCCTGGCCAATGCTCTCTGAGAATCTCAAGAAGGATGTATAGAATGCAGCTCTTCTCTAAATTCATCTCCTCTCCTCCCTACCCCAAACCTGCGTGTTTGCAGGACTCCCTGTCTTGAAGAGCAGCCTCATCACACACCACGTTTCCCAAACCACAAATCGGGGCTTCACCCTTGATTTTTTCTGCCTCCCTTAAGCCCAGA